CATAAACATTTCATTACACCAAATACACAAAATAATGTTCTTTTTAGCAGCATCATATGACCCCTTTAACCTCAAACACAACAAAATTTAGCTTTAATCGAGAACAGTTACAAAATTATAATACTAATTCAACATTATAACTTAAATCCAACTTAAAAAGTAGGCTAATTAGGGATTTAATTAAGCTTGTATGCAGAGGCGGACAGTAACTAAGTAAATTTACTTGAGTATTGTACTTAAAGGCACAATATGTAATTTTCGCCGCTTGTGGTTTTAATGTTGTCCATGACAACAGCAGCACCTTTGGCCTTCATATGAACCAAATTATCAGCTTGGTCACCAAACAAGGGGATCCCAACCATTGGAACGCCATGATAAATGGCCTCGTATATGCCGTTAGTGCCTCCATGAGTGATGAATGCTCTGGTTTTGGGGTGACCTGAATCAGGAGACAAACATGGGTAAACAAACAAAAGCAAAAGCCATTGTTACAGTAACACACTTACAATGGAAGCATACAGATAACAAAAAGCACAATACATGCTCAGCAGCATAGCCAAAATACAATAAAATAAAATGTAATAATTTCAGTAAAAAATGTACAATTTAATTTTTATAAAAATGAGTTTAAACATTTTTTAATTAGTTTAAAAAATACCAAACCCAATAAATCATTCTGAGGGATCCACTTATAGATTCTGGTGTTTTCACGAAGAGTATCTGGCTTCTCTCCACCATATCGCCATAAAACCTGCAAGCAAAACAAAACACGTCGATACGGCCACACTCTCAACAGATCAATAGATAATGACAAAGACTTTATAGAGAATCACTAATGGATTAAATGTGGATATTCCCTTTGAATTGTGACAAAAGTAGCCTGGATAAAACTCATGTAAATTGAGGTTACTACTTTGTCATTCCAATCATATCATTGCTCATTTAATATGAGGTTCCATTTGTGCCAAAAATAAGTTGACTGCTTTGTGCTTTGTACTATACATCTGTCTTTGTCTACAGTCATTGCCTACTTGTTCAGGTAAATCAGTATATGTTGACGTGTATGTTGTTTGTTAACGTCGTCTTAATCTGTCGTCTTTTTCTCTGTTGATTTTGCTGTCGTCCTCATTGTCATTTTGTTCTGTCATCTTATTCTGTTGTCCTGTTCTGTCATCCTTACTGTCGTGTTGTTCTGTCGTCTTTACTGTCGTCTTGTTCTGTCGTCTTTACAGTTGTCCTTACTGTCGTCTTGTTCTGTCGTCTTTACTGTCGTCTTGTTCTGTCGTCCTTAATTCACTGCATATTCGACTAGGCTGCTTTAGGGACCGTCTGTAAATTTACCTCACAGTATAAAACGAAGTCCAATAATTCATTCAATTTAATGTTTACAGGATTATAGTAAATGCCTAGTGGGCAAACTGACTAAATATATTTTGTCAATATCTCACCTTAGACAATACTTCCAGTTTCTCCCTTATTGTCCATACAGTACAGAAACATTTTCATGAAAAAAATAAACAAGTAAATAAAATCACTAAAAGTTTTTTCATGTTACAAAGGTTGTAGTATGTTTTTAGCAACAAGACTTACTACAGGTGAGATTTTGCCAATATCTCCTTTACTGTATGTAGCGGCCTAAAAATGTACTAAAGCCGCAGGAGCTGAGTGAGGGAATAACTTGTGACACGTCAATCATCCTTTACATTTGCGTCTTGAGATTTATTTGTCCACCGACAACTTGTTCATTGAGGCATGCATTTCTTGAAGGATCGGCAGATTATCAATGCAAAAGTTTGAATATACGGTCAACAAAAAAATACGTGCTCGCCGCACTCACCCCCTTCTTTCCCTGACAACCCCCACTCACAACAGGTGTTTTAACTCTCAAATAATTAATGACACTCCCACATTTTCCCACAGTCACATGACATCACACATGAATATTTACATGGCTCCTATACTGTATGTATAATGCACAAATATGTTTAGAACAAAACTACTGTAATTCATCAAAAAGTCTTTTTTATTTTCCAAATATTTTTAGTATGTACGTTACAAGACTAACTTACTACAGGCGACAGTTTGCCAATATCTCCCTTACTGTATGTACAGTACACAAATATTTTATTTTTAAAAATTACAGTAATTTACCAAGTTTTATTTTCATGTTCCAAAGGTTGTAGTATGTTACTAGATACAAGACTGACTTACTACACATGAAATTTTGCCAAAACCCCCCGTCATATATGTACAGTACACAATTATTTCCTAGGGATGCACCGAATGTTCGGCAACCGAAATTAAGCTGAATAAGCGAAAAGACCAAATAAATTGTACCAAACAATAATATGACGCGATCAAATAGCAACCAGCGCAGAGTGAGAGGCGTGCACTCTTTATTATGCAGCACACACGTCAGCAGTGTGGAAGTATTTAAACTGTCGGAGAAAGACGCAAAAATCATTACAAGCACCGACAGCGAGAGACTGTTTAGGACTGCATCGCATGTCTTCAATGAGAAGAGGAAGGGGTGATTGTTGCTGGTTACTATATGATGATTGAAATCGCGAAATGGCCTTAAACAAGTAGTAAATAAACTGCAGAACGTTATGGTTTCTAATACACGCGAGCATTGCATGTATTCTGACAGCGCTGCACGAACTTGCAGCAGATCTGCTTGTTAACCAGGGTTCAAAGTCCAAAGCGAATCTGCGCTGATACAGTCGTCCGTTGCTCAGTCACATTTTAATGAATTTTTACAAGTCATGTGACAGTGCGATACGTACGACGTATTCGTAATGAGACTCATTTATAAATCTGTTGTCAACAAAAATAAGCATTGAGGTCTTCCTGCGCATTTCCGCCAAAATAAAAGTT